TTAACGGAAATAATTTTTAGCAGACCAACAAGTTAACTCTATTCGTGTTAGACCAGCCCAGGTCTGCTTTTTGAAGACTGACCCAGATCTTTTGACCAGTTTGCTGAAGATCAGACCTGTGGCCATGTCGGTTTTTTACCAGTACGTAGAACAGGTCTACTCCAGACGAGACCAGACCTGTGTACATGTCTACCTTCGACTAGTTCTGTGAATAGATGATCTCTCGACTATCCAAATGAACATGTTGCTTTAGACAGACTGTCGTGTTTTCCCTTTTCATACATGTCATGTGAGGCATGATCTTTGTTTCTTTAAACAAGAATCGTGTTGTTTTGTTTTCCAGTACATCAAAATACTACTCTCTATAAAATACGTTTCTATATCTACAGTTCTACACATATTAATTGTTTTCATTCAGTTTTGTATAAATAAAATGATTCTAATAAAAAGTCCCCTTTGTTGATCGGCATATTTATGCATGCAGATACCATAAAAGAAGGGAACGTTTGTTTTAATTCGAAACGGAGAGACAGTTTATCAGATGCATTGGAACAATAGATTATTCGATGGGAAAGAAACAAAATGTGTTAATTTGCTTCGTTCCCCATATTATACAGTCTGCTCCTAAGCATATTATATGCACGTGTATTTTTCTTTGTAAATCACTTTGGATTGCTTTTAATTTAATATCCTATTTTCGACCTTATTTCTTACTAAATGTTGTAAATTGCCAGGATAGAAAGGTATTGCATAATTTTATAAGACACTTTTCAACCTTCTTGTTAATTTTGGTTTATTTGCGTTTCAATATTTGCTAAAAGGAAAGAATCATCAACACATTAGTAATACAATATTTCCTGACGTACCAATACAATTGACCAGATCAGTAGTTTAAACAAAAAGAAGAAATATTAACACTTTAATTTCAACCCTAAAAAAATGGTCGGTATTTATACCAATAATGCTGTCATTTTTGTCTCGCCTGCGACGAAAGTCGCAGAAAGTGAGACATAGGTATTACTATCCGGCGGCGGCGGCGGCGGCGACGGCGGCGTAAACTATTTGTATAAAGCTTTATATTTCAGAAGGTAGAAGACCTGGATGCTTCATACTTTGTATGCAGATACCTTATGATACGAACTTTCCGTCTGTCATATGTCCAATGTCCTTGACCTTATTGTCATGGTTCAGCGACTGCTTGAAAAAAAAGTTTAGTTTTTTTGTTATGTAAATTTCTCACTTATTATGAGTAATAGGATAACTATATTTGGTATATGGGTTCCTTGCAACGTCTACATGTCCATCAGACAGGGTTCACCTGACCTCAGCCTCATTTCATGGATCAGTGATCAAGGTTAAAGTTACGTGATTAGGTCCGTTTCTCAGATACTACAAGCAGTAGGTCAGCTATATGTGGTGTATGGAATGATTATAAGGGATACATGTCAGTCTGGCAGGTTTCATCTGACCTTGACCTCATTTTCACGGTTCATTGGTCAATGTTAAGTTTTTGTGTTTTGGTCTGTTTTTCTAATACTACAAGCCATTGGTCAACTATATTTGGTGTATGGAATGATTGTAAGGTGTACATGTCTGTCTGGCAGGTGTCATTTGTCCTTGACCTATTTTCATGGTTCATTGGTCAATGTTAAGTTTTTGTGTTTTGGTCTGTTTTTCTAATACTATAAGCAATAGGTCAACTATATTTGGTGTATGGAATGATTGTAAGGTGTACATGTCTGACTGGCAGGTGTCATTTGTCCTTGACCTCATTTTCATGGTTCATTGGTCAATGTTAAGTTTTTGTGTTTTGGTCTGTTTTTCTAATACTATAAGCAATAGGTCAACTATATTTGGTGTATGGAATGATTGTAAGGTGTACATGTCTGTCTGGCAGGTGTCATTTGTCCTTGACCTCATTTTCATGGTTCATTGGTCAATGTTAAGTTGCTCTTGTTTGGTCCTCTTCTCAGATACTATAAGTTATAGGTCAACTACATGTGGTGTATGGAATGATTGTAAGGTGTGCACGTCTGTCTGACAGGTTTCATCTGACCTTGAGCTTATTTTCATGGTTCATTGGTCAATGTTAAGTTTCTGTTGTTTGGTCTTCTTCTCAGATGCTACAAGTAATAGGTCAACTATATTTGGTGTATGGAATGTATTTTATTATTTAACTGCTGATTACTTACATTGAAATAGATTATTTTATAAAAATCTTTAAATAACATTAATAATGATAATAAATAATAAAAACTTTTAAGAGATCATTAATAAACCGTGATTAACAAAAACATTGGAAGGTGTGAAAATGTTAAAATAAGGTCACTCATGCATGAACGTTTAACATAGAATACAGTTCACTCCAGTCCCTTCATAAAGATTAATTGGCTGAATATGTACAGATTGAAGAACTTTTGAAATTTTGTTTGCACAACAGAATCACATTTACTGATTTTTGATACATATGAAATAAGATAAGTATTGAGATAAGTAAAAAATATTTTAGCATAGCAACATAAATAGATAAATAGATAATATGAAAATATGACTTTTTACAATATTTTGATCAAAGATTGAAGATAATTTTAGTTTTTTTTTTTTTTTTTTTGGGGTGGGGGGGTCTTTCAGGTTCATCTCAAGGAATTGACAAATATTTATCCAGTTTCTGCAATGCCTTAACTTTATCTCACCTTGACTTCATGTTCATTCATCATTAAAATGTTAATTTAATATAAAGCTTATATAAACTTATTTTTTTTACTTTCAACATAAATTCAATTATGAACACTAAAACAGGCGAGACATTTCAGTGTGTCCACTCTTGTTTATTATGAAGTCATGTATGATATATGCTGAGCAGGTGCAGATGGAAAAGAGGGGACCCCGGCAACCAAATCTGTACCTCCACAAAGTGGGCTGACCCCTTGCCTCTTCAAAATCCCCCTCTGTTGAATTATGTTATTTACTGATTTATAATACCGGCATATAATTTCCAGTATAAAGTTCAAATATTTGCGGTGATGATTGAGGCAGGCAAATATTTTTGTTAAACAAACTAATCTGATTTGAAGTGCAATTTCAGTATTTCAAAAATAAGATGTAATATTGGCTAAATTGATACCAACAACATTTCAGTGTAACACCATTCCTGTCTTTAATGTTATACAATCCATCCAGAGGTACCAAATTTACCTATAAATTATACTGGCAAATCAATTTCATTATAAAATACAATTATAACCAATGTTGACTTGTGCCGTAAAGGGTTTTGGATCAGAACCACTGATATCTAATGACAATTCCGCTGTTTTAAATTAAAAGAGGAAATGTTGGCACTCTTAATTAGATAAGACAAGATTTCGAAGTCATGGTGTACCATTATTATTGTCCTTTATGTACAATCCATCCTATTTTACCATATTTACTCGATATTGATACCGCCATATACTTTTTCTTACAAAGTACAAATATAGCCGGTGTTTGTTAACGGTGGCAAGGATACTTAATGAACAAACAATGTTTAGATATCATCACTTTTGATATATAACTACGGTTCAGTGTTTCTAATAAAAGGAGGAAATGTTGACATTCTTCGATTTGAAGGCAACCCGAATTATGTAGTCATTGTGTACCAATATTGTTGTAATAAATATCTCATAATAATCATCCCTGCAAATTTTACTGGCGCCATCACGGGCTGGTTGATCGGTATAGATATCTGTTTCACAGGTGATAATGGGTAAGTTCCAGTTATCGTAACTTTAATTTCGTCTCCTTTTTCCCGAATGTGACCTACCAAATTAGAATTATTACCGTTTTTTTTTCAAACATGAGCAACACTACGGGTGCCATCTGGTGAGCAGGATCTGCTTACCTTTCCTGAGCACCAGAGATCACCCCAAGTTTTTGGTGGGGTTAGTGCCGTTTAAGACTTAACATCATTTACTAGTAGCAAAATGGCAACAAATTTTGTCAGCATCTGTTAAGAGTACCAACATTTCCCCTATGTATTTGAAATGCACAAATTGTCACTATAAATCAGCTTTTTTAAAATCTCCGGATTGTTTGTATAAATCACGTTTAAAATAAAATATCCACAATCACATTTGTTCAGTAAATATAACTGTTATTGTTGGTTTAAAAAACTTTTGCACAGCCAATTTGAATTATGTTGTCTACTATCCAAATTGTTTTAATAATACGAACATTTACATTCGTACAAAGGATAGCAAAAATTATCAAAACATAATGGAACCACAACTCAACAGACCACATTAACCACCTACATCACATTCATCCGAACAGACAGCTGTACGAAGCGAAAAATAACAGCGCACACTATAGGCAGGATAGGTTGCATGATACTAGCACAAAATGTGGATAGGGTAAACCATTATCTGTACGTTCAAATAAACCACTTTGCGTATCGAGATTATTTGTCGAAAATTTGGATTGAAAAAAAGCAAGATGAAAGATGGTTCCACACCCTTTTGAAAAAAAAAATACACGAGCGCACTGAAATGTTTTCTGTTGTTTCAAATATCATAAATGAGAGGTGTCACTTTATATTAACATTTACATTTTAGGCGCATCACATTTGAATGATTTGACTTCATCTTCAGTAGAAATATATATTGCATTACAAAATAATTTCAACTATCGACAATCATCATTTTCAAGGAATAGAAACGGAAATACTCTCTGCTATATTTTATAGTTTACAATGGGTTAAATTGGGGGTGATACGTCAAGACATGCACTTGGAAATCAATGAAACATGCACACATATTGTAAAACATCACCAGAGGAGATTTCTTATTGATTTTGATATAAGTGATTACAAAGGCAGTCTCATAACTATTGAAATGGAATAAAATTGATGCAGAAACCTTTATTTATTTTGTGACAACAACCCTATTATTTCACCCGTAAAAATTGTACTATTTGAAATTATAGTTTACCAAATGTTTCAAATATGTAAGGCATTTTTTTTTTAGTTAAACCCTTTCTTGACCACACCAGACCATATTCTCCACCTTATGTTAGTGCGGCAGAAAACAACTCTCTTCGCTTACAACTAGCAATAAATGCTAACCCGACACCAACTATAGAATGGACATTCAGGGCAGAGGCGGACTGGAATTCTTGCAATTTTATTACAATTGTGTCCAACACAACAACCAATAGTTTCCTCACTTCATCATCAATATTGATCGATAATGTACAAAGCAATTACTACGGCGAGTATACTTTTGCAGCTAATAATACAGTTGGCACCTTTTTACGTAGATTTGTTGTCATGAAAGAGGGTGAGTTTGATTTCAAATCTTCCAAAAACTCATTTGATTAAGAGTATAGCAATTCGAAAGCATATAATTATCTATGTTTCCGTTTGGTCAATAGTTAACGCGCATTTATTAATTTGTCACTTCTACTTTTGACATGCACTTAAACATTATAAAAAAAATACTTTAACTATAACTATTATAAACGAACTACGAAATGTAATTCTACTTGCATATGACTGTTTCTTTTATATTTCATGCTGAATGTAAAACACCAACACTTTAAAAGATATTTTATCCGATTTTTGAGAAAAACAAACTTGTATTACAAAAGTTATTTATTAGCATCACTGAACTTGTTTTCTTTATTTCGAAGGCCTATTTCCATATTATTCGTATGACATTAATGAATACAGACGAACCATGTATCACAAAAATAAATGTTTTATGAAATTAATCCGCAATTAAATGCTGCAACGCTGCATGTGAAAATATGTTGTATTTATAGTTTACATTATTTACGAACGATGTAATCGATTACGCATCAAGAAAAGATACATACTATATATAGTTATTTGATGAAAAAAAATCGAACCATATTATTTCGTTAATATTATGTCATTGTAAGTTGAAGCAGACGACATTTTGGAAAGGTTTATGGCATTGACGAATTTTCAAGGATTACTTTCATATACTTCACATAATCATAACAAATGAATGAAAACATCACTACTCATTGCCTTATGTCTATATTATCAATAATTATACTTTGACCAAACGAATGTATTTGTTTAGACAGTGTCGAAAATCGTTGAGCGGTGATGGCGAACATTATTAATGCAATATTGATTCGTTTTGGACATAATTGTCAAGGACGCGGCGTCACTCACAGATCAGTTGAGGTCTTTGGGATTTAAAACTTAGGTTTACATTACATACATTTATCGGATTAGTAAAATAGAGGTATTGGAGTATAAAATACATTATCGATATTCATAGATTTAAGAGTATTTACTGTAATAATTGACGACTTTTTTGTAGTATATTTAACACAAGTGAAATGTCCAATCACGAAAGAAAATACTGGCATGTTTGTAGCAGGAATAGTAACATTAGTTATCGGTTTGGTGAGCCTAACGGGAGCAGTAATTTTTGTTGTCAGAAACGGTAAGTCATTCATTTCCCAAAAATTGATTTCAAAAAAGTCATATGAAAACAAGAAATTTAAGTATTCTCAGTAGCCTTGTCCAAATCGAAGGGAAATATAATTATACGTATCAATTGTAAACTGTAAACGTTCACGCGATTTTCACAGGTTTTGTAAGGTACATTGATTACTGAATACATGTAATATTCTTTTCAATAAAACCTTTGTCTTCAGTTTAAAAATATGAACGAATAGCAATAACTTTAACGAATCTGTTCAAGCAATCAATTGTATATGCCTGATAAATGCACTACATACAAAATGTAGATTCCCAGCTACATGTATGTATGGTAACTGTCAATAAATTAAAAAGACAGATGTGGTATACTAATAACTATTATACTTCATGTTCAAATGCCAGATTTTGATTGGTTAATACAAGGGAGATAATTTACTCTGTCCCATAGCAAATTATGTATTACCGTTCACTGAGACGCTTGATCAAATGTGTGCTGTATTAGATACGGATGGTTGGTATGTACAAGACGTCATAGTTTATTACTTTGAATTTGAAATTTAACAGACAGTAATAACAGAACATTCAGTATAATAAATTAAATAAAACACATCTGAGAGGGCGATATAGCAGATTGTTACCCCTCGAAAAGACATTGTCAAACTTGGCTTTGCCTCAGTTGACAATGATTTTTTTGGGGTAACAATCGGTTCTATCACCCTCACAGCTATGTGCTATTTATATAATGTTACACAACACTTACAAACATATGAACCAAAACACACAGGAACTGTTCTTCCTCATTATGTAACAGTCAACTTCTCATCACGGAGCATAAGATTCCACGACTACAACAATTACTATTTGAATGAATTTTATTTTTCCTAGAACATGACAATTCTAGAAATTATTTAAAGACCCTTACACCGCTTTTTATTTACAAAAAAATTCTCAGACGTATTCTATGTAATTTTAAAATCTGTTACATATAGAACTTTGGTCAGTTGGTTATTAAAATGGGTATTGCAACATAATATTGGTATAATAACCTCTTCATGATTAATAATAATATCGTTTAAATTGCACCTAATGCTGCCAAAAAAACTGTGTGTTTTATCAGTACAAACAACAGTACGGATTTAGAAAAAGCAAATCAAGATTATTTAGTAATAAAATTAATTCAAAGAAAGAAAGCGTAAATATATTAGCATTTGACTCTACGTTAGTGAAGTAGACAGAGTTTAGCATAAACTAGTTATTAATAGGCATTTGTTAAGTGAAGAATTAGAATACAGGAATACATTTGCTTTTAGTCAACCTGATATAGAACATAATTAAAAACAAATACTACTATTAGAAAATACCTCGGGCGCGTTTAGTATAGGAAAGATTTTTCTCTCTCTCTCTCCCAACTGGAACAACTAAGCAAATGGAAATCACACTTGTTTTATTACCAATACATCTGATTTCAATGATGTATTGATTACAGTCGCTTTCCTTTGGGGAAAATTATTTCACAATTGGAGTTCTGTTAATTTATTTAAGAAGATTAACACTGAAATTTCTAAACATTCACGAAACTGTTGTTAAAATTTGTCATTTAGTTAACAGGTCAGTCCATTGAAGTTGGATTACAATTTCAAGTAAAGCAGTTCGTCATATTCCTATTGTCAATGTAACAACGCTGATACTTTATGAAATGGACCCATATTTTTACAAACTAAGTGAATTTCAGGCGCGGCTGCAATCTCATAAATATATCATTGGCGCTTTATGCAAAAAACACATTTTAAACGTCTTAAGTCTATTTAAGCACCAGAATCAATGGTATGAGACATAATTGTAAGAATAAACTAGGCCTACCGATGAACCAAAAACTCTTAAAGACATAAATGTCTACTTTGGTGTTTTAAAGTTTTTTAACAATATCAAAAATTCAAAGCTTGGTCAATCCTGATACATGATATACTCGTAAATTGTACACTGCATTCTTCATACAGACAGTCTTGTTAAAGAACACATGGTCCGTTTCAATAAAATGTTAAACTCACATTCAATACGAACACGAAACAACTACAAGTTTTCCTTATTATGAGATAACGATGAATTTTTTAAATGTTTTTCGTTTGCATAAAATATAAGAAGATTAGTGTTTACATTAAGCCATATTTGTTTATACTTAATGATTCTAAAATATAAATGGAGCTATTTAAACAAAATTAAAAAAAACGGAAAAAAACACATACAAGAATATCACTATTATTTACACAGTAAAAAGTATTTATATTCTTTTTTTGAAGATGCGAAGATATATGTTTACAGTAACTTTTACTTTTATTTATATTTTAAGGTTTAAAGAACAAGGCTCTGAATTCGTCAAAGTATGTATAACGGAACGTAGCTTACACGTTCAAACACAATTCAGAGAAATGTTCATAAACCAAAACACATAGCAAAGTGTTCAATTTCTGAAATATAGATAGAGTAATAGAGTAATTGATAAAACTAAAATTCAAAAACGTATAGAATGCATGCATAATCTGTGTAATTGTGAAAATCTTAAATGATAAGTTCCTGTAATCTTTGAGTACAATCAAAACCATTCCAAAAAATTTCGCATTGCATTTTCAGTCAAAACATACAAGCGTACTTTCGGATTCTATCAATACAATTAATCACTTGATATATATCAACTAGTGTATATGAAACATTTTTAGATCTGTTGACTATAGTGATGTGCAGAGAAGCAATCCTGCATTTACAGATGCATACACTACGTTACAGTCTAATATCGGTATGTATATTTTAAACAAGTACGTAGATTAGCGGGGGTATAATGACACACATTCACTTTTCAATTTATATTAGTTAGTTGTCACATTAGCACTCCTCCGATATCGTCAATTATAAAATTCAAAATATCGACACAGAAAGTGCTTTGTTGGGGAGCTTGATTGTATCAAATCTGTAAAGAACAACCAGTAAAATTTAAAAAGGTAAATATATCTGATTCTGATGTAGTGCTGTTAAAATTGTGTATATTTTTCATCTTCTTTAATTGTTGTATTTTACAGTACAATTTGTAGTATAATATAACAAAACAAAATAACTTTCGTGAACAAAAGTAATCAAAACCGTTGAACTTATATAAGTGGTTTTTTCATTGATGATACAATACAATTTGCTAATTCAAAGGTTCAAGGTTGGTAAAGCAATCACAATTACCGAAACATTAAAGGGACTTAATCACCATTACTAAATATATATGTCAATTAAATTTTGGGGGAATTGTATAAATGACAACTCCTTCAAATACTGCACAATTTAAATCCTTAATGTTTTGCACGTTCTCTTCGAGGATGCTACTGATAAATAGTTCACAATAATAAAAAAAAAACTTAACCAATTATTTATTTTCGTTTACCTCTTGATGTATCACGCGATGAGGACAGTAGGCCTCGTGAGTGTTGTGTAAAATTGAATTGAAACTTGCAATTGTAATACATTCTTCTTGTTTCTCTACAATTAGTTTAGTCAAACTTCTCAAATACAATCTTCTTAAGGGAAAAAGTAAAATGTAAAATAACACAAATATCGAGCTACAAGGAAAATTAAAAACAATTATCAAATGACAAAATCAAATGAAAACCAGTATTGTAAAATAATTTCCTTTTGCAAAAACACAATATTTTGAATTGAAAGTTACTGCGGCAATAACGTGCTTGAAAAATAATACGACTTGTATTTTACAATTTAAGACAATCACTTGTTCATGTCCAATTACTGCTATCCGTTTTTTTGACTAGACTGACTAGCTGATCAAAATATTTTACAAACTAGTTATGGCCTTAACACTTTTCGGGAAGAAATGTCATTGTACTTGAACACATTATTATTCTTACACCACTTGAAATGGTACTTAACAGAGATCATCAATATTTAGCTTACTGGGTTTTACATGATCTATCGACCTTCCTTTTTTATTCGAGGCAGATAAGTAACCAGTCTAAGATCTTGTGGATGTGGAAGAAAAAAAAAGAGTCATTTTGTAAATGTTCCTATCTTTACTTTTTAGAATCAACAGTACCTTCAGAGCAAATGTATGTACGAATACCTTTGTAAATTCAATTTGTAACGAAATGATACCACAAATACGGTTAAACCAGCCTTATATCTTGACATAATTCAAGCAATTTATAGTCAGGGTCGATCAAGAACAAACATTACGACACAAGGAATAGTTTCAACTTCGTTATTCTGAATTTTCTATTTCAATATTGAAACATTCAAGCAGTGCCTGCAGATGGAGTTTATATCTCCAGTCTGATGCGATATTTCAAAGCCTATGTTTGTTTTTCTATCATGATGTTCTTAATAGAGGATTCTACTTATAAGGAAGACATTAAAGACACTATTTAGCGTAGTAAAGTAGGAATCATCACTCTTCAATAGTTTCACGGAAGCCATCACGAGTTGGTTTACCGTAATCAATATCTGTCACAGATCACTGTAAACTTTGTACCAATTGCCATAATCACAATCCCGTTCTCTTTCCCTTGATTGTGACATCTCCAAATGAGACTTTTCTCCGAATTTATCTTGACTTTGAGCATGAGCAACATGATGGGTGCCACTAGTTAATCATAATTTGCCTACCTTTTCTGAGCACCTGATATCACCTTTATTCTATGTAGTGTCTATTGACCTGTTTGTCTTGTCGTCGTTGTTTTTTTTTTTTTTGGCAAGGTTATTGTCAGTTTCTTATCGACTTATGAGTTTTGAATGTCCCGTCGGTATATTTCGACTATTTCCCCATCAATAGAAAACAATATGTTGTAACAGTTGTATATTCGATACAATTAGTTGCAGAGAACAACAAAGGTAAATAGGTGTGAAAATTATTATAGATAAGAATAGAGAATGAGTTGATTAAATATACACGTACATGTATATTTTTCAACAGTAATGTAATAAAAAGTGGTTGCAGTTATAGTATTCAAAACTAGCTGGATATCGATATAGACATCTCTTTGGCCCGAGAACACAGTTATTTTCCCCTATTTGTCTATTAAAACATAATGGCAATTAAAAAAAATTCCACCTGCTCTATTCTAAAAAGATTTGGTGTGCATAAAGTTTGACTTTTATCCCAAAACATATCAAAAATTCAGAAAAGTCTACCAGCTCATTCTCTCCTGGTAACCCCAAACATAAGGACACCGGTAAGGATGAAGCCAGAGAGCTTCCGAGAAGAGGAAATTCCACCTTTATTTACCTGACCAAATCACTCATTTCTACAGAAAATTTCAAAAAGATTTTTTCCAGACAGTATATTTGAAGTCTTATCTTTCACCTAAATGCAAACAAATAATGAAAAATTCCAAAAAAAGACAAAGAAAAAAAATAAGAAAAAAAACACTGAAATTAAAGGGAACTACATTTGTGGACAACGAAAATTGAAGGTAGATAACTGTGTCCTCGGACCTAATAGGACCCTTCCAGTAGTCCAAATGAAATAAAATTTTACATACATTAACTTTAATATATATCAAGACTACATACCAAATTTCAGACCAATCAGACAATGCATGCACCAGCAAATGCATTTCTTGCACCCCTACCTTCACACCCAAATTTTATCATTTTTCTGGTATGGAATTTTCAATTTCCTCAAAATACCATCTTTATTCAAACGCTCATAACTTTTTTATTAGTGCAATTTTTACGAAAAACTAAAGTGTTTGTTAAAGTAGAAACATTGATAAAATTTAATCATTGATAAAATTTTCCAAAATTAGAACGCATTATTGTGTAACTAAGGTTATTTTTCTAAATTCATTTCAAATCACGAAAATTCCAAACCAGAATATTTAAAAAAATCAATGAAAAATTCAAAACTCAACCTACAGTTTTCAGAATTGCATTAAAAAATTCTACAGTCATACTACAATACACAAAATTTAACTTTATGGGGGTCTTGAATAAACTTTTGGCTTATTTACCTGTATATTCAACACCCCCTTTACACCATCTGCCAAAGGCAAAATCAAGATGTCATAAAAACTTTAAAATGCTGTAAAATCCTTATTTTTTGCAATTTTGAGATGAAATAAAGTGTTTTGGAAAGGTTAAGATGCCAAAAATTCATTTCAATTAAAAAAAGTAAAAAATTCAACAGATTTTTAGAATTAATTTTTTTTTTTCAAAATCAAACAAAAATAGAACCAAAAAATTAACAATAAATTACAAAATCACTTTTCAATGGCAAAACAACTTTCTAAAATTTGGAAAATTAACGTTTGTAAAATCTGAATAGGAAAAGAACTTTTATTTCACAAATAAAGGCCAAAATAAGGAATTTTGTTTGAACTGGACCAAACCCTTTGAAGCCAGAGTTGGTCATTTCTTTAATCTGCAGCTAAAAATAGATCAAAAGAATCCACAGAATTGATTGACAGCATCACTTAGCCAATTAAAAATCTGAATCAAAAGTTACATAATGACAAAAAGTATAAAAACTAACACTTCTATGGTCTGTCATCCAAGTTTCTTTCGACGCTTTACACTGCACCACCAAAATATTTGTCTCAACATGTATCCAAAAGGTTACTGGCCATTCAACAAAGGCTTAGCTGGACGGCTGCAGAGAAGGAGAGTTGCACCTGTGTGTAGATTCCAGAATGGCAGAATTCCATGGAATGTTCCTGTTCCTGTCCCTGTACTAGAGTTGTCCACTACACCAGACCAAGATATCAATAATGCTCCTGTTGTTGAAATGAATGTTGAACAGAAGGACATTAAAGATGAACCTACAATCACTTCTACTTCAGCTGTACACAATGATGGCATAAAGACTCGTTCCCAGCTACTGGTATCATCCTATGACCTGAAAACAGAAGAAGAAGATTGGAGTTCACTTTCTGGTATGAGGTTCGTCGATCATGAAGAGATGATGAAGATGCTGAACATTGTTATAAAGGCTCACACAAAAGAATTCAAGTACTGCAAAAATCCAGAAATACTGGCACACAGACAAGTTAAATGGGGAGTTTGCTGGAAATATACCCTTAGATGTAAGAACTGCACCTACATGAGCCCAGTTATAAAGTTATACAAAGAAGTTGTCACCAATAAACCTGGTACCAACCCTGGAGCACCCAATGTTGCAGTAGCTGCAGTCCTACATGACTGTCCCATTGGTAGTACAAAGTTCCAGGAGCTGTTTGCTAGAATGAACTGTCCTCCTCCATCCAGAACAAGCATGCAGAGAATGTCACATAATGTTGGAAAGGAGCTAGTAAAACTTAACAGGACAGACATGTCAGAAAAACTGGAGATTGTTAAGTCAGTAAATCGAGAGAGGGGGCTACCAGAAAATGTGATTAATGTTACAGTCGACGGAAGGTACAACAGTCAGACCATTACCAGCCGCAAGAAACCGGGACTGAATGCCACCCAAGCTTTCACACTTGCCATTGAGACAATGACAGAGAGGCAATATATTGTTGCATCATTTGCCCAAAATCAGATGTGCTGGAAAGGAGCCTGGCTGAGGGGTAAAGGTTTCGATGTTAATTGTCCCAATGGCCACGAAGACTGCACTGCAAACTTATACAGAGCAGCTCCAGTGTCAGAGTACCAGATGGGTAAAGAAATTGGTTCACAGCTGGCACTTCAAGACATCCTTGTAAAGAATGCCACAACAGATGGAGACGGACGGGCTGCCAAAGGGATAGATGACGCAACCAGAGCCCTACATCCCATGTGGAAGGTCGAAAGGCTAGCTGACTATGTCCACCTTGGCCAGTCACAGTTCCGAGCATCCCTGAGAGCTCAGTTCAGCGAAGGCATGTTCTATGGGCGTACAAAAGAGATAAAGAAAGAAATGAAGAAAGCTTTTAGTCAAGATGTCAAATGTAGGAGTTCGATGATAGTGGGACAGCTAATGGAACAGTACAAAAGAAATACAGATGACGTATGTAAAGACTTACCCAAGGCTCTGCAGGCGACAATCAGGTGTTATGATGGTGACTGCTCCATGTGTAAACAGCACTCAGTGGTATGTGCAGGTGATGAGAGCTACAACTGGTGGACCCGCTCCAAGTATCTTGGCTGCTATAACATTACTATCCTGCAAATGGACGAAAAAGACAAGTTGTTACTGCAAGAGATCTTGAAAATGAAGCTTAGTGAAGATGCGATTAGTAGTATGAAGCTTTACAACACAACAAACAAGAATGAAGCTGTGCACAGATCCTTGAGTGTGAATTTACCCAAGAATGTAATCTTCTCAAGAGGCATGGAGGCCAGATTAGCATCTGGAATTCACAGAAACAACAACATGCCAGGAACCTCAGCAAAGCAAAAGTGTGAACATCTGGGGGTTAATTTATCTGATTCCAGTTTAAAGTTCCTCGACAGTATGGATAAACAGTTTACCTACAAGCGAGAGTATGAAAAAAAACCTGAAGTTAAACGTAGACGTCTCACACAGAGTGGTGAAAAAATAGTAGAACATAGAGAGGCCAAGGTAAAAAGTAAAGAGCGCGATGTCTACAGAAAAGGGCAGTTGGACCCAGTGCCTGCCTTACTTAGCCATAGTACCTACTGCAAGAGAAAACTACCACCAGCACCATAGATGAGACAGCAACCCAGCAACACAGTAACTCAACCAAAGGTCCTTTTAAGGACCACCCAAATCTTTCAAAAAGATATCTGAAATTGTTGTTTACATCAATAAAATAAAATAAAGTAAATATTTAATTTGTAAATCCTAAAACATGAATAATACCAAGGTTATTGTTTGCCATCTTTAAGTCCAACTTGCAAGGTGGCAATGGAGCTGGGTGACCCAAGCAATGGCCACATGAAATGCAAGTTTTTCTACTGTTGTTGAAGCCGTGTGGCTCCAACACCAGATGATCAACATTAATGCATTTTGAGTTGTGGCACAGATGCGAGACATCAAAATTAGGTAAATGAAAATTTAGATGCCTTATCATGTACGCAAGTCTGTGCACATGTATTTGTCTCCACCCGCCGGCATTGGGATGCTTGAAATTTATCACCCCATATTTGCCATTAGGCGTACAAGTCCCTGTCCAAATCAGACAGTGCCCATTTTGGCCAGGGGCAGATTTTTCTTGTAATTTTGCTAAATATTTTTGAATAAATCCCTCCATTTAAACTTTAAAGAACTATTTCTTATCAGAATGAGTAGGAATTTGCTCAAAATAGAAAAATAATGAGCCCCTGTTTTGAGATTTGCCCCAAAAGTTTCAACATATAAATAACAATCCAAAAATATGGCAAAATAGGATTTTTTTGGCATCTAAAAATATTTTCCAATTATTTACTATAAATTAACAATGAAATATCTTTACATTTCAATTTTGAGGCAAATTGTGCAAATCAGGGGACCAAAATGTCCATTTTGGGGTACAGTGGGTTCAGCCTCTTAGGCCCGAGAACACAGTTATTTTCCCCTATTTGTCTATTAAAACATAATGGCAATTAAAAAAAATTCCACCTGCTCTATTCTAAAAAGATTTGGTGTGCATAAAGTTTGACTTTTATCCCAAAACATATCAAAAATTCAGAAAAGTCTACCAGCTCATTCTCTCCTGGTAACCCCAAACATAAGGACACCGGTAAGGATGAAGCCAGAGAGCTTCCGAGAAGAGGAAATTCCACCTTTATTTACCTGACCAAATCACTCATTTCTACAGAAAATTTCAAAAAGATTTTTTCCAGACAGTATATTTGAAGTCTTATCTTTCACCTAAATGCAAACAAATAATGAAAAATTCCAAAAAAAGACAAAGAAAAAAAATAAGAAAAAAAACACTGAAATTAAAGGGAACTACATTTGTGGACAACGAAAATTGAAGGTAGATAACTGTGTCCTCGGACCATATCAGTATAATATGAAAATTTTTAATACTCGAACAGACGTACATGTACACTTATCGAAATGAAATAATACTGTAACATTAAAGAGCTTTATACCGTACACATTAATATAAATTAATATTCTTCTCCTGGTATACAATATAAAAGATAACATACACATCATTTTATACAAAATTGAAAGCTTCCTCTAGAAGCAAACACTGTTTTGTCTTATTTATGTGGTGTCATTTTTTATTTCCTTCTTAAAGTTAGAGGTCTTCCTGCTGTTGATGGCTATACTGTACATGTTTCTATTGTTTTATATTGTAATTTTACGACATGCGCACTATATATGTTACCATGACATAACATATACTGTATCAAGCTGATATATTCTTTCAGTATTAACACTTATGAGGAATGTGAGAGAAATCCTGAAGCACATACATACAGTTCAGTAGACAAAATGGAGTCTGGTGAGAAAATTACTCTTTAGGGGCCGCCAACCTGGTTTAAAAGCACCAGAAATACTCACTGCAAACGTTTTTTTATGTCACTGGGTCAATATTTTTGCTGGCAGAATATCAGTCCTATAAATTACCATATGCCAATAAACCATTCTATAAGTATACGATTTAAATAATTAGTGTTGTCTATAAAGTTCCAGATCACGAATTGCGCAATCGCTCTTTGACTAAGGCTCGTAAATAAATACTCAATATAGATAAGTGTGTAAACAATATAACAAGCTCTATCTTAATCCACCAGATTGTAAATTAAACTTATTATGGATATCAAAACCTCTGTCGTCATTGATAACTAAAACATTCCAAAAGATAACTACTGATAAGGGTACATGGGCTTTTCCTGAAAACATTTTAAAAAAGAATACCCGATCGTTACTTATACTGAAATGTTCATAGCGTATTTGTTCTCGTAAGATATTTTTGTGAAAGAGTCACTGACTTTGGACAGGTACGTGAACATAGTCATTTTCAAGTTTTTTTTTATCTCAATTGTTCCTATTTAATTATGTATAAGCATGATAAGTAGAACCCCAAAGTCGAAATAAAAAAACACGTACAATAAGATCCTTCGGAATAGCACGTAACTCTAAAAATCCACATTTTTTTCCAGACCCAAGTCAACCTCAACATCATGGGTATGTATACTGAATACTGTTCATTGTGTATTTGATATTCGGAAACGATATGTTGCGATACATCGTAGATAACTAATAAACAAAAACAAGGAGGTTATATTTGCACTGTCAATTCCAATAAAACTTCGGGTTTTATAATCGTCTCCATGTAAAAATATGGAAATTGTGATTTGCAATTAAGTTTAGAAAACTAGTAGTACAGATTCATAGAAATAAACGATGATATTGAAAAGAAAATAGATAAGGAGAGAACTACCAAAAATACCTAACTATCGGGAAATACAAGTACACAACAAGATTAAAACTAAGTGCTTTTATCATTGAAACTTCATATTGATTTATTGGGATGATTTAAATGTTTTCCTCATGTAATATTTTTTTACCATATTTGATTAGAAGTGTAACAAGAATGTGCGTTCATAGGACATCATGCCCCACTCGTACTACCATACATCTATGTTCAGTGAACAATGAAGTCGGGATAATAATTATTTTTGGCATATAATTCAAAAATTCACCTTACTGCGTACTAAGTATACTCTTTCACATTTCTATGTTTAGTGAACAATGCAATGAGTTCAAAACTGTGATTTGGTGATATAATTTCATTAAAAACTACCTTAATGACTATTGCATTTTTGTTGTTCCGTGTGTTTGTTTTGTCAAGAGCATCAATTAAGCTTGAAATTTTTATTTGTATCTCTTTTAATAATGACGGAAATATTTTGCAATCATTATGTATCAAGTATATTATTTTCTAACAGTGTTAATACATATGAGGAATGTGGGAAAAGAAACGAATTCGAAGCACATGCTTATGATACTTTAGACAAATAAAGACAGATGAGAAAACAAATACTTACTATGCTCAATAAGGTTTGTATGTCCTCAAAACTTTTACATTTTCGGCTATACAAACTTTTGACCTCGACTATGAGAGAAACACATGCAGTGCGTATGAACATCTACAATCAATTTGTTCACTACCAACGCGTCTACAGTGCATGCACAATGAAAACTGGTTCACGTATAAAATTTCTGCATGTATCAGTGTAATGCATGGAAAATTATGTTTTAAAAAACTTATATAAAAACAGATGTTCAACTAAATGTGCATGTTGTTAATTGTTTGAGTATATTTACTCAGAACATAAACTTGAAAAGAACTTAAATAGAGAGATGTGTTATGATTGCCAATGATACGCTTATCCAAACGAGTTAACGTGACGCAGATAAAAGCAATAATAGGTCACTGTACGGCCTACAACATTGAGAAACATCAATACCGTATAGTAATTAAAAAAAGTCCTGACATGAAAAATGGCAAACAATTCAAACGAAAAAAACCAACGGCCTCATATATAACAATGCAATTTACTAAAGACAAATATGACAGACATTCACTAACTAAACAACAACAACTAAATTACAGGCTCTTGGCTAAGGACAGGCAATCAAGAATGAGGCGGGGTTAAACACTTTTGTTAGCGCTCATTCCTATGTATTAACGTATTCAGCAAAGATTTCAGATAATAGAATGACTATAAAAGAAAACCTAAAGTTTATGATAAAGCGACCCTCTGAAGAACACTGTTTATCTACTAAGCTTCGAAAGAATTTTAACACTCCTATTCGTAGAGTGTCAAAATAGCTACAAATTCATGAGAAACTGTACAAAATAAGCCTGTAAAACTCAACAAAAAACACGTGTAGTATAAACTTTCTCGGATACTGGTCATGGTGTCTAACGAAATTATTTATTGTTTGTGTGTGTTTTTCATTTAGGAAGAAACAATCATTTTTCATAACTTTAATTCCCTACTATATATTGGTGTATGCATATCCAGTTTCAGTAGTTTTAAAACAATTATTATCATTTTTCTGTTTTTTTTGTCAAATATCATATATGATGGCAAATATTATTTTTTCAGGGCAAGAGGACATCCAAAAAAGTAGCGGGTATTTGGAATTTAAAGATTTAGATATCTTATAAATTGAAATGAGATTTGTGTATACATTTTAAAGGCTTATTTCGATATGTTAGACTGTGTATTTAACTTCTGATTATACTGAAACGTGTATGATTTTTTATAATATTTAAAATCTCAAAGCATCGTGTCAATATTTAGAATGTTTTTGTTGCCAGAATTACGTATACAATGTTGTTTGTCACTTTTACATTTTGTATGATATCATATATTATCATATATTATACAGTTTCATTTACTATAATGCAAATTGAAATGTTATGGATTACCTTAACTAACAATATCAGCCAAAATTTGTATCCAATTAATACAATGTACCATCATTCGAAAAATATTTTGTATTGGTGTTTTTTATGTGTCCCAAAATTTGAAACTCTTTATTTGCATAAATGTTCTTATTAAAATAGATTAAGGTCAATGAGGGGGGGGGGGGGGGGGATCTTAATCAAGATCCATAGATTTTTTGGATATTTTGCCAAAATGCAGATTATGTCATGCTTTTTTTTAATATTATAAAAAGATCACCGAACTTGTTTTTAAGCTTCAGCTTGTTTAAAATTGTCAGATTTTGTATGAATTATGCATGAAAAACCCAATGATAGAAAGAAAAGTAAAACATAGAATTTTAGGATAAGATAGAAGATACCTCGAATGATGTGCTTTCTGAAAATGAAAATTAAAATTGGGGTCACCGGCCTTGTTTTTTTTTGTTACAAAACAAAACAAATAAATTCCTAATATATTCCTTTATTAAAGTTAAATTATCTGAGTTATGTCCCTTATTTGGCAAAGTTGAAAACAAAAATAAATAAAAATAAAACAATTCTGTATTTGTAAAAATGTATGTGGATCTCTTTCGGTTTGATTCAATCGCCATTTCATACTTGCATCTTCTATACATTGTTATTATCCGACTAGTATTAAGTTACATTTAACGCTGAAATCCCTTATGCTTGCAGAAGGCAATTTCCAGGGTTTCAGTACAAACTCAAATAAGATGGATTTGGAATACAGTATTGTAACATAAGAAATTAATCAGAAATTAAATTGCATGTTTACAGATTACACAGTAGTTTTTTTTTTTTATATTGAAAATAATATTATCTAACTAGTATACAATACAAACAAGAAACATCCACAAAGTAATATGTACCGAATTTTATTGAAATAATCATATCATTACATGCATCGCTGATGTAAATGAAGACTATCATGCCGCGTATATTTCAAGTCTTTCAAATAGTATTTCTGCCGATCAAATGTTGAGTGTTTTATTTAGTTGGTTTTGGCAGGTTTTTTTTTTTTCAATCTGATTTGGATATGTATTTTCATTAGGGATGTCAACGAGTACTCGAGTATTCGAGTATCGCTCGGTAGTACCGAGTATCGAATACCAAAACGATACTCGACTAATCGGTTTAGAATATTGCTGTTTTCTTTATATACAATTGATCTTCTTGCGAACCTCTTTCGGAAAATTAAATAGGTATCACTGCTTAATCATACTAGTAAATAAAAGACATTTTGTTTCGAATTTTTGTGCTAAATTGTCATCTAAAATGCCTCCGAAAATACGTGGGCTATACCTAGGCTAACACTTTAAACTAAACATGTCTTTGCCATTCCGCCACATTGGTACCGTCAGAGCAAATATTTTCGTCTGCAAGACCGTAATTTACAAAGTTGCAAAACCGACTGACCCAATAATAGTTTACAAGAAAATGTTTCCAAATAAAATAAATTCGTTGCATCCTCTGGTGACCATCAGTGAATAGTTAAAACTTCTAATCCTTATGCCTTGGTAAACATTAAATGTGTTTTCTTAACGATTACCAAATACTATTGCTTAATATTTTTCCTTGCTATAATTTTCAAATAGGTGTTCATTAAATTATATTGATTAAATTATTGTATTTTACTTAATTAGTACTTGTAGGTAATGAGCTATTAATTATGGTGTAACTCCTTGCCCCTATGTAGATGGTTTTTCGTCCGTTGAACAACACTCCATAGAATATAAAGTATGTATTTTTGTGTTTCCATGTTGTAGATATATTCCCGAGCGAGTACTCGAGTATCGCTCAATAAAACCAACGAGTACTCGATTAGTAATTGTTCACCGAGTTGACACCCCTAATTCTTGTGCATTTATACAACTCTGACATTATAATTGTTGAAATGATCACAAAATAAATCGCCTAAGCCACCAGGTTTTCGTCCGATCAGGTTAAATACATAACAGACTATGTAGGATATATGTATTTTGTTCAGTTTAGATGTATATATCATACAAATCGAATTATTTTTACCAGACTTCCACATCCCATTAACGTTACCAGGACAGATTATAGCTATACATATTGCATTAATATTTCCAGGTCTATCTAAAAACTAAAACATTTTATAAAAAAAACCATGAGATTACTTCACTGCGATAATAAGTATAGTAAGGCAGTTGAATGTCTTCATAAATACCCGATGATATTGTAGTGACTTCGCCTTTAGTTTGATTGTTGTGGTTTCAACCTCTGAATACTTGACGACTTCATGATACAATGTATAAGATAAGAAACAACCATGATTTATTCGGGTAGGGCGTTATGGTTTCGGCTGATTTTTAATGTGCGAGTTAGTACGTTGTAAATTTAACTAAGCATGTCGGTCTTATTATGCTGACCTAGTTATATAAATAATAAATATTGCCATGATACAACTTACCCTACTTAATTCGCATTTACATATTTTGCTGGATTAAGGTACTATATATTATCCAATTGTTTTAATTTATGCATTTATTCTACAGTAACTATTTATAACATTAGTTCTATTTTAATAGTATATCAATTGTATCAAACTCGTTCTTACATATTCCGAATAAATAATTTAAATTCGAATTGATGATGTCTATTTTATTAAAGCAAAGTGTTATTTTTATAAATCGCACACTACAATAAATCTACATGCATGTTATTCTTTTACTGCAAAACGGGTTATTTAACAATTAGCGTTATTTATGTGTTTTTGTTTTAAATCAACCTTTCTCCTTTTTCATATATTGAGCAAAGGAACACATATTGCACATAGAGCAGCGTAAAAAAACGTATAATTCATTTGACCAGTTTAGAAGGGGAGAAATATTTCACAGAGACAATTGCCTTTACTTTCATAGCAAAAGGGTACATAGAAGAGACAAATGAGTATGCTTGGAAAGAAGAGGCGAAAGGTGGCATTCACAACTCATCAATCGAGGTATACTTATAATGCCGTGGCAAAAAAAGAAAGATGTCGAAAAGACGAAAAAGTTCACAAAACACTACATAGAAAACTAAAGACTTAGCAACAGGAATCCCACCAAATATTCTGATCATTTATATTAAGTTATTATGGATAACACAATAGCGAATTGGAAATGATATGGTGACCTTAAGTCGTTATGCAAAGTTAACTGATTGTCAATCATACCACATCTCCTTAGATTTGTGTAAAGGAACATGCAAGAAACACAAGCATGAGAAATATTCTGATCATTTATATTAAGTTATTATGGATAACACAATAGCGAATTGGAAATGATATGGTGACCTTAAGTCGTTATGCAAAGTTAACTGATTGTCAATCATACCACATCTCCTTAGATTTGTGTAAAGGAACATGCAAGAAACACAAGCATGAGAAATATACTAAATTATAATAGAGCGTTGAAATAGTTAGCTAAAACTCAAATGTTTCCATATTGTAACTCCATTTATAATAACAAATCAAGATAAAAAAAACCTATGAGAATCGCAAGAACTTCAAACGGAGCGTAACCAGTTGCAATTGGAAACCGTACTAATTTAAAAGGTCTGCCAATTTTCACTAAAACTGAAAAATTGTAATTTGAGGTTGGTCGGGAATCTTGAATTGAGAGAAGAAGAAGAAAATTACAGATGTGTTATAATAGAGTTTTCTTACATTTCGACGAAAGGTACCAACAAACGTAAAGGGAGCATGTATAAAATTCCACGATAACACTGAGATTCTATGTTTTATCCGGTAAAACAACATTCTTTTCTAAGTCAAAGGTATATTAAAAAATTTAAGCATATCGCAAATAAAACATGCTTTTGATATCTAAAAATAAAGAAAAATAGTTTCAAATACACTTTCGTCCGATACACTACAATATGTTAACCACGATTACACACATTTGCGCGGGAATTATTCAAGCGTGCGTTTCACCATTAACATGTTAATGAAATTATTGAAGTGTGATTCTCTAAATTTAACGACAAGACAAACAATTATTTTTATTTTAATGACTTTGCGGATCATGGAGATTTGCAAGACAAGGATACTACAATGTTTTGAAAAAGAAATGTAAATAAATCTGGGGAAATATTTTTTTGTGATGTGACACTTGCGATCGCAGGAAACAAATGTGAAACGGAACAAAAATTATAGTCCCTTCTTGGAAGTTAAATGGTCGTTGCCTTAGTATTCCACAGATGATTTTCATGGGCTGTTTTCTATATCCGCAGTTAATGCTAGATAATCAACTGATGTGGGATCAATTAATTAAACATCGTTAATTTGTTTTAATCATCTAATAATTGTGGACCAATCAGTGGTGCATTTAGAATTCACAGAAGATGTTAACACGAGCGAATATGTGAAGTTCAATGTCAATTCCATGAGGGAGAACAAACACACACACACACTCACGCGCACACTATATAACATGCATTAAATGGTAAAAAAAAAGAAAAACAAACAACAAGTTATACTCAGAGAAAAAGCGGAAAACTTGGGTTTGTCGGAAAATTAAACCGTCTCTGTCTCTGACTTAGCTGTGCATGTAACAGACCAAGGCGAAGATCTAGAATAGGTGGCTAGGAATATGTCTGATGAGTAGAGACACTCGGCTGCATACACTCCTAAATCCGCCCTTGAGCGCTCTAATAATAGATCGACTGATTATAGATGTTTTATTCATTTACATACACATTTTCACAACTAAATGTATATCAAGAATTTCAAAATAAATGTGCAATCTTACACTAATATATATTCTGGATTTGAAGGTGACGATTAAAGGGAAAACATGCTTGTCAGATTTATGATTATTCATGAATGTTCAGGACAAAAACGCAATTATACGCTAAAAGAACGATTCCATAGGTGACCCTAACTCGG